CATAAAAACTGTTTATGCAATATGTTTAGAGTGTGTCATTCTAAATCCAGTTATTTGGTTGCTGTGTAAATTTTTAAAAATGATTTCCTTATAAGATGTGAAAGACAGTTGTTTTTTTAGTCGAAGTCTGTGTTCCTTAGTTTGAATTATATTTGGAATTAGTTGACAAGGACATTGAAGAATTGTTTGAACTCCAGCCACCCAGAAAGCTTTCAGACTTGTTTGACAGACAGTCACTTCTTCAAACTGAATCTTCAAGCACCAAAACATTATTTTAACACAAACAATTTTCATTGCAGTGGATTGCTGGTTATTAGGACCAATATGATCACATACTGTTTTAATCCAATTAACCAGATTTGGCTGTAATATAATGCTATCCTAATTGCTGCTTATTTTATTTATATTCATTTCCATTATAAAAGGCTAAATAATATCAGTGATTAGCAAACGTGGTGTGTTAACACACAAAGACTAACTGCCTTTATTTTAGCCCACAAAAAGGCTAATGAACACTTAAGAGCTGGATGAACTAAGGGACTTTTGTGGACATGTCATATCACTTGAACTTAACTACTAGACTGCCCTATCTCCTGATCTAAGCTGACACAAAGGCAGAAACAGAAATGAAGTCTTGTTCTTGAAAGAGACTAAAAAAAAAATTAAAGTTTTATGTAAATTTGTTGGACTAACATTACAAGATTGCTTACATAGAAGTAATTTTTTTTTTTTAAATTTAAAACCACAGCGTTATAGTTATGTGTCTAAGATTGTGTTTTTAATCGTGGTTGTGTTATAAACAGAGTCAGTATTTTGACCAGATTCTCTGAGACTGTGTAGGATACAAACAGTGTACAGTTTTTTGTTTCCTAAAGTAAAATCAGCCTAGACTGATGGTGATTTGTATTTTATTTGTTTCTAAAAGTATGCTTTTCAAGTTGTAAAATCTGATTTTGTAATTAACTTCTCACTTTTATAATAATAAAAAATATTTGTATTTTGTCAAAATAAAAGGAGCAGCTAATATAAATTTGTTTCTATATGAAAATCTCAATTTTGTGTATGTATTCAAATCGCTTGCTTCCTCGATTTATTATATAATTTGAAAAAAAAAAAGGCGTCAAGGGTAAGACATTGTTTTCCCACAATGTTACTTTGCATTTCAACAAATTTAGTGTTATTTCCACAATTTTTTTGGGTGGGGGGTTGTTTTAAAAAACTTTTGTTTTTCAAGATTTTGTTTCACTTGAATGATTTTTAAAATAGAATTTTCAATTTAGTAGTTTCATATTTTTTTATTTGTTTGTCTTGTCATGTTTCTATATTCTTCACTTTCCTTTGGGCAGCTACTGTAGTGACACACGTCTACTGTTGTTGCTTGGTCATAATTGCTCTCTTTTTTTTTTATATGATTCTTCTTTGGTCATGATAAAGGTGTGAAGAGTAAGGAAGAATGCAGTTTTACATTTATTTTGACATTCAACAGAATGAAAGTCTGAAAAGCTTATTTCCGAATATATTATTTGATGCGTAAGAAAATTAGGTTTTTGAGTTATGGATTGAATTTGACTTCAATCATGGATTGAATTGGACTGCATAATGACAGTTGTTTTTTTTTATTTCTATCTAGACATTTAACCGATTCCTTTTTTTTTTAATTGCATTTTCTCATTCACAAAGTCTGCCTTTAAGACCAAATTTAATGTCAAACAGCCAAAATTTAATTACTTTATCTGGATATTTTTGCTACTTATTAAGAGACTAAAATTGCTTGTGTTTAGAAAGATGGCCTTGTCATCAGATCTTGTTTGGTGCTCCAAGGGTTCAACAGACTACAGGGAAGGTAAAGGTGTGAAAATTGCTTTGAGAAAATGGTGTACCCTTTTTTTAACCTGTCTTCAGTGTCATTCCCTGAGTCTTCATCACAGAGACCCAATTTATTTTTGTCAATTTGAAAGTGGTAGATTTGTCCTGCATTCTAAAGATTGTTGCTGCATTGATCTCTTGTTGTTTTTCTTCTCTCTCTCTCTCTCTCTCTCTATACACTATCATGCAGAGTTCTTGTCCACAGATCAAATCGTGCCAGGATACTGGTACTTTTGACTGACCAGTACATAAAGATTCTTTTCCTGTTGGTGCTAAATTCATCTGGATCTAAATTCGCCTATCTACATTTCTAAAACTTTACTATTTTGCTTAGATGACCACCAGTCCTTTGACTGACCTGCCAAACGCTCAAACCTGGGACTTGCAACTGATCATCTTAGAGCTCAACCCTTCATCCACCAGGTCCATTCTTTGATTCTGTTCTTTGGATACAGCTTTCTCAGCTCCTTGATCAAAACTTTTTCTGACCAATATCTTAGGGTGTCCCTGCTGTTTGCTAAGCCATTTACAACTTTTTTTAACAGCACAGTAAACCAGAGTTTAGTATTTTACTGAGATCTTTATTTGAAGTTAAATGTATTATTTTTTAAATTTACATTTTGTGGCTTTTCCTATTTTTTCAGATGCACTTTTAATAACTTCAGATACTTTTTTCAGATATATTTCTTTTGGCTTTAGATACTTTTTTGGGATGTAATTTTAATTGCTATGTAATCTTTGTTTTAATGTATTTCCAGATTTAACTTATCTTTTGTCAAGACACTTAAAACCAGTCTAAAAATTTAAATACAAAATTAAATTAAATAAAAAAGATTTTTTCCTAGTCGTTCTCTGACACTTTAGTCTCATGTTAGTTATTGGTGACTTTGCCCCATTCTTCAACACCTCAGTCTTATGTCTCTACAGTAGCCGATACTTCACTCTGGTGAAATATCTCACTGACCTGTAATTTAAAGTCACAAAATGCAGATATGCAAAAAAATATTTACAAATTTTTTTTGTTTACTCCTGGTCCATATCTAGTAAATGAATACCAAGTTCAGTTCTTTTGTTTGCTTGACAAAGGGATCTGGAGCAGTTTGAAATCAATTTTTGAAGAATCTGAGCTGTGTGAAATTGAGTTTAGTGTTATCAATGCATTGTAAAATTGATTTTTTGTGGAATCAGATTTGTGTGAAATTGATTTTAGTATTGTCAGTGCAGTGTGAAATTGATTTTTAGTGGAATCAGATTTGTGTGAAATTGATTTTAGTATTATCAGTGCAGTGTGAAATTGATTTTTAGTGGAATCAGAGCTGTGGGAAATAAAATTTCTTAATAGATAATTTACTTACTCTTAATAAATACTACTAATTAAAATGTTTGCTCTCTGTATTTGTTAACTAGGGTTTGACCAACAGCAACATAATTGTAGTTTGTTGCTATTTTAAACAGTTTCTTTAATGTGGGGAACAAAGTTACAATTAACAACAGTACAAAACAGAAAAATAGTGTTGATGGTAAACCCAGTTTTTTTTTCTTTTTTTTTGGTCTCTGTCATGTGTCCATACAAAATGAGATTGTTCAGGTAGATACAAAGATATTTTGTTCTATTTATTGACTTGCATATTTATATCAATGGTTCTATTTATTTGCATTATGAAATCATCAATATCTTATTTTATTTGCTATGTCATTGTGATTTATCTTCTATAATCAGTTCTGTCTGGCCATTTTTGTTAACACTATTTTGTGATACATTTCTGTATATCAGTCGTTGATGTGGCTTGAGAAAATCTATTTGTAATTTTTTTATGATGTGTTAGCAGTGGATTATAATTTATAAAGTATACATATAATGTTTATCATTTTTCTTGTATTCACCTTCAGTTGTTTATTCAGTTTAAAATCTCTTCTTTTAGATGTTGTAGACTATTCGTGAAATGCTGTGTCTTTCATTGTCTTTTCAGTCTTTTGTACAGTACCTATTTATACAGTAGATATGTACAGTACCTATATATACAGTACTAACCCATTCTTGCTAATGTTCACATCACTTTTGATTCTTGTAAGCTTGTAACTACCATGCTACATTGTCCCATGCTACATTGTTTCATGCTACATTGTTTCACGTTTCCTCTTGCTTTAAAAGTGTTGTTTTTTGTCTACACCTTTGGACTGCTTTTGTACAAGAATATATATTCATTTTTTTTTTTTTTATCTCTAATGTTTTGACATTCCTAGTTACTGAGCCATTAGCTGAATGCAAGACACAAGATCAAGCTTAACTTTCATTTGGCTGAATGCCCTTTGATTGCCATGTTCTTTTGGTTTGTGTATTGTATTTGCTTGTTACTTGATTGGGCCCATGTCATTGAGCCCAATGTTTGGCTCTGAAAAGAAAATGAAATAGTTAGAGTCCTGCCGAGTCAGATGTTACCAACTGAAGATTGTAGCCTTTGGAAAGGGAAAGTTTTTTTTAAAGGTCCAGCAAGAAGGACTTTCACAAATATAAATAAATTATTTTTCAACCCTGCCCAAGACACTCGGAATCTGTAAATGCCGATGAGGTCAGTGTTACTGAAAATTATATATATCTGCATACTGTCCATTCTACAGTTAATTTCTAGGTACTTTAGAATTGACTTTTTTTTTTTGCCTCAGTGCAAAGTGTTGTTTTTTTGTTTTTTTTAATATATATTTAAAAAAAATTTTTTTCTTTAAAAATGATCCGAGTTTTCAATGTCAACTTGAAAAGAGTTCGTTTGTACTCCTAAGGAACCGGAAACGTACCCAGTTCCCAATCGGAGGCCCAGAATTATGTCCCTTTAGGAGAAGTCCAGATTAGCATAATAACTGCCCTTGAGTGAAGTACTACAACATAGTACTTTCCTGTCCCTATTTCTTTTTCATCCTCGCTTATGAAGACATTGGAGACCATGAGTTTTTTGTCTCTATATATATAAATGTATGTGTGGTGGTTGTCTATATATATGTGTGTGTGGTGGTTGAAAACATGACTTTCTGGATGTGCATTCTTTCTTAACTACAACATCGAGGTTTCAGAAGGTTGATTTTTTTTTCTTTGCTGCGTCTCTAGCTGTTTAATTTATTGTTGCTTTGATAGTTTTTCTCCCCCCCCCCCCCCCCCCCCCCAGAGACTACTAGACTAAATGTCCACTTGTGTAAAATTGTTAAGTGTTGATGACGAAATCAAAACGTGTGCCCATTGAAATGAAACAATGTCTTTTGTCTTACAAGTGGGTGCTATTTTTTTTTGTTCAAAAGCGTTAGTCACGTGACTATTAACAATGATCGTCTGCATTATTTTTTTACTTCCCCCCATGGCGTTCTCGTGTGCTATGACTGTTCATTCGATTTGACTTGTGAAACTGAACATAACCAGTAACTTGAGTCTTGACATGAAATAAATCATTGAACACATTGAAATGTCTCTTCTGAAATGTTTCTATGGCTTAGAATTCTGTAATTTATGATTTTACTTGTTCTAATGTTGTTGTTCCCCCCCCCTCCCCAGTTCAGCACAATTTCTCCACCATGGTATCAACTTTTGTCTGTTTGTGCAGCTTCGTTGATGAATTATTCTTATAGCATGAATTCTGTTACCTGGGATTCACAATTTGAGCTGACCTGTCCCCAGAAGAGTCTTGGGAAGGCTGCATCGATCTTTGCTAGATTCAGACCAAGAGCTTGGGAAAAAGAGGAAGCTCACTGCAGCGACCAAAATGGAAGTTTACTAGGCAAGTGCTTTAAGCACGCTACTATACTGCAGTGAGTCATGGACCGCCGACGCAAAGCAAGAAAATTATATATTTATTTTATCTTGCGCTGCCTCCGAATGATCCTAAAAATCGCATGGCACTTGTTCGGAAGGGTCTTCCCAGCATCTTATACAATCTTCGAATAAAGCCTGTCACGTGTGTGTGTGTGTTGAATTATTACGATCAGAAGATTGAGTCTGACTTCGGGTGCTATTAATATCTCCGCAGAGTTCGAATATATCAACAAATAACAGGAGACATCATTAGAAAGATGAACGTGTAATAAATAAGTCGACGTCGAGATGCAATATTCTGTACACCAAATGCACCAAAAAAGCTAGCTATTTATAGTTATTCGCCATAGATGTAATTCTCCAATAAAAGGAGACATTTAAAACAATGTTAGTTTTTTTTTTTTTTTTTTTGGTTTTTCTTTTAAATACATGCCTATTATTACAAATTGTTTTTAGGCATGGTTTATCTCTCATTTAGTCAATCTTAATATAATCTGGCTGAAAGAAAAGCCTACCCGCCAGTGTCTCTTTGAAGTGTTGATAGTTGCAGAATTTCTATCAGCGTAGGACACTGTACATAGAAACCAGTTTAGTTTAGTTTTGTTTTGTTTTTAATTATAAATATTTACTAAAATTTTAGGAATAAAATAATTTTGAACAAAAATAATTTGCCAGGCAAAAGAAAAAAAAGGCGGGAAATAAAAATGAATGTCTTTTTTCCCCCCTGCCTCTTAGAAACTTCTAGAACATCTTGTAGATTGTTTCTCTTGGTGCCGGATAGAGATGTACCAGTACCAGCTCGATGTTAAATTCCAAAACTTAATTAACAGTAAAGAATTATTACAAGCAAAATACACACACAATATTTTTTTTTTAAAAAAAAGCTTATACAATTAATACCGTATATCAACTATTTTGGATCAGTCATATTAAAAATTTGTAATAAGCATCAGACGACAATCTATAAAGGGGACTAATTCAGTCAAGTACTATTTCTTTCTATTGTTTGAGATACCAAACAAGGTAATTTATTACCAATAGTTAATTAACTAATTGTTTTTTGTTTTTTTTTTATTGATTCTTGTGTTGTCAGGTAAAAAAAATAATTGTGCAAAATTTCAGCTTGATCCAAGATTGGGTGTCGGAGAAATAACGTGTACAAACTTTTGGACACACAGGCAGACAATGAGTTCATATAAGCTTTGTAATTACTCGTACTCAATATTTGGAATAGAAAACACTATTTTTTTTCCCGAAACTTACCAGTCAATCAATATAAAATTGTAGGCCCACTATTGATCTCTTTTTTTTTAATCACGCACAATATTTTACACATTGAACACATTTCAATTATATACACTAGCTCACAAGTCCATTGTATCAGCATTTATAACATCCAATTACTTTTCACAATAGAAATACTGTTCAATGCACTGTTTAATACCCACACGGGCAGAAATACAATTTGGTTGAATCTATATCTTGCAAAATTATGAATTGCCAGACAACTTATTTGTGATATCATCTGGCAAGTGTTCAAACCTTTCTAGTTGGAGCGCCATCATCAATTAATAGCCTCATCCCACAAAGGCAACATAGGGGCCCTATGCTTTTGAAAAGAGTCTGGTCGGTGTTAAAGCACTCGCGTGTTATTGATTAATTTTTTGTTCTGGCGTATAGTCGAGTCGGACGCTTGATGCAGATGGAAGGGGAGAGAACTCTGCTTGAGCCAGGATTGTCTGTAAGCTCGAACAACTTAAAGTAAGCTCCCCCCAAGAGACAAAGGATTTGTTCCAAGCCAAAATACATTGGCTATTGGAAAGCCAGTTCTGTATGGTTATTTGAAAACCAGTTCTGTATGGCTATTTGAAAACCAGTTCTGTATGGCTATTTGAAAGCCAGTTCTGTGTGGCTATTTGAAAACCAGTTCTGTGAGGCTATTTGAAAACCAGTTCTGAGTGGATATTTGAAAACCAGTTTTGTATGGCTATTTGAAAACCAGTTCTGTGTGGATATTTGAAAACCAGTTTTGTATGGCTATTTGAAAACCAGTTTTGTATGGCTATTTGAAAACTAATTCTGTATGACTACTTGAAAGCCATTTCTGTGACGTATACACGTTACCCTAGGAGCAAAATGGCTGGCTGGTCGTGTGCTATGCATTTCAAACTGTCGTTAGAATAGACCCGAGTTTGATTCCCTCATGTCATAATTCCCGTGCCGCCCTGCAGATTCAAACTAGTACGTAGAAATCTTTTTTTTCTGGAGGAGCGTCTGATATAGTTCTCCTCTCAGACATTGCGATCTATAGGACAGAAGATGTAAATGTCATCTGTTTCTGTGGCCCACATTTTTACGAGGGTGTCCTGTGGCCAGCACAACGCCCAACCGAAGGTACCCATTAGAGCTAGGTGTACCCAGAGACGCCCAAGATTCCGGAATTAAAAAGCCCAGTCTCACCCGGACTCGCACACGGGACTTCAGTTCAGAAGCCAAGCGTTTTACCGCTCTGCCACCTTGTCTCCTGGAGCGTTTCATGCTTGTAAGATAAACAGTTGCGCCGCTTGATAAACATGTCCTATGAATGAATGGTGCTGTACGAGTTCTGGTACTTGACAATGCCAGTTCACGTCTGTGTTGGTCGTCATTGCTGCTGTTCATTGTTAATGTAATCCTACACTTGTCTAACATGAACAGTATCAAGGTGACAGTAAAAAGGTCCCAGTTTCGATGGGAAGGACTTGTAGTCCGCATGCCTGACAATCGACTTCCCAAACGGGGAGTTGTGCGCAGGAAAGCGCAACCCAAGGGGGGGTCAATACAAGCGCTATAAAGACACCCTTGAGATCGCCTTCAAGGAGTGTGATATTGACATTCAGGGCTGGGAAGCACTAGCTCTCGATCGCTCTTCATGGCGTGAAACCGTGAGTGTCCGAGTCACGTGATACGAAGCAAGGAGAGATATGACAGCCTAAACGAGCGCCGAGCCAACAAAAAGGCTGAGAGAAGAATCAAGCCTATCTGCAGCTGACCAAACCTACCCATGCACACACGTATACAGCTTTTTTTAAAGCGAGGACTGGACTTTACAGTCATCTTCGTGTTCATAGGAAATATAAACGTTCAAATCTTGGACCACCAAGGAGGAGCTATAGATATATAATTGTATAAAGTACTAAATATTTCAATTGTGACTTGCAATAGTTTCCGATATATATATATATATATATATATATATATATATATATATATATATATATATATATATATATATATATATATATATATATATATATATATATATATATATATGTGTGTGTGTGTGTGTGTATGTGTGTGTGTGTGTGTGTGTGTGTGTGTGTGTAATCAAACTGGACATTAAATAATTTAGTTCATTCATTCATAGATTTATAGATCTATTTATAGTATTAACATAAAGACATTTAATTCTATGAATACTGAGTACATTCCTGTATTACCTAAACGCTAAAAATTTCAAAATGCATTCATTTTGTTAGGGTCAGTGTTGGAGATTCTCATAAATTGGCGGGACTTCCATAAATAACAGGCTTTATGTTGTCTCCAGTGTACAGACTAAATGTAATCATTTCTGTGCAAGTTTTAAGCACCGTAGACTCAAAATTGTTTTTTCCCGCCTACTTTTGTAGCAGACGACTGTGGTTTATTTTGGTAGTGCAGACGAACAAGATGGAGGCCTGGGCGTTTGTTAGGGTTGGAACGATGCTGAATAAAATAGAGCTGGAGATTAGTAGCAAACGAATATTTACATTTGACTAAAGTACCATAAGTAAAATTTCTAAATTTAGGGACACTTCAGGATAAAAGACAAAAGTAAAGTAATCAGAAAAAAAAGAAAAATATTAAAAATCCTTTTTTTTAATAAAAAAAAAAAGCTTTGTTAAGCGTACTTGTATCGGTTAGTTTGGATAAGTTATGCAATTAAATCTGTAATAGCTGTAGACTAACAATAAAAAAGCATTGATAAAAATAATTAAAAAGCTAAAGCCTTATTACGCTACTCTATCCAACGCGGTACCCACTCTGCTAACAGAGTCAAGGAACACGGACGATTGTATAGTTATTATAGTCATGTATTAATTCTATTTCATGTTTGTGTTCACTAAGCCTGAGACGGCAGGGGACTAATTCATATCACCACTTCTGTCAAGTACTATTTCTTTCCCTTGTTTCAGATACCAACCAAAGTAATTCATTACCAATAGTTACTTAACTAATTGGTTAATTTTTTTTCCATTGATTTGTGTTGTCAGGTAAAAGAAATAATTATGCTAAATTTCAGCTTGATCCGAGATAGGGTGTGGGAGAAATAACGTGTACAAACTTTTGACCAGAGTGAGCGGATATAAACCTGGTAAAAAAAAAACACCTATTAAAATACTCAGTGAAAGGCATATTTCTTATTCCAAATGCTAGGACAAAATTCGTACAGTGCTCCTTCTTCCTTAGTGCTATGAACGCATGGAACGAATTGCATCAATGAAGCAGGAAAACCAACAACTTGAGAGTTTAAGTCTCTATATTATTTAACATTCACACGACTAGTTGAACAAATGGATACGCGCGGGTCGTTGTACTCTTCTCTTTTCAATGAACGCCGCTGTAGTTTGTAAGA